AATGCACTACATTGTTTGATTTCTTGACTGTTGCTTCCGTGGGCATTGATTGTGGATCCAAGTAAAATGAAATCCTTGCAAACTTCAATCTTTCCTTCATTTACCATGATGTTGCTTTTGGGTCCAGTTGTGAGGATTTTTGTTTTCTTGATGTTGAAGTGTAATCCACACTGAAGACTGCAGTCTTTGATCTTCATCAGGAAGTGCTTCAAGTCTTCTTCACTTTCAGCAAGGAAAGGTGTGTCATCTGCATATCATAGGTTGTTAATGAGTCTTCCTCCAGCCCTGATGCCGCATTGTTCTTCATATAGTCTAGCTTTTCAGATTATTTGCTCAGCACACAGATTGAGTAAGTGCGGTGAAATGATACAACCCTGGCACACACCCTTCTTGACTTGAAACCATGCAGGGTCCCCTTGTTCTGTTTTATACCGCTGTCTCTTGGACAGTTTTGCAGTGTCAAACCAAAGCAAGCAAATAAAGAAGAGTGTCTCCTGGGAACTGAGGTATGAACAAGTCCCTTCTGAAGAAGTCCACCAGCTGAACCTCCTCTCCCACCCTCTGTGATGGCCCCAGTCCTGCATCCTCCCTGAATGTGGCCCCTTCCGGCTGACACTGCCCATCAGGACCCCCAGGTCCCGTAGAGCTCTATTCTAACCTCCCTGCAGACCTGGCAAGCCTGGCTACCCTCCCTAGAGCTGTCATCCCAGCTGTGATCTGTTTGGAGGAAGAAAAATCCCAATGTCCTAGAACCATAAAATGTCACAGCTGAACAGACCACAGAGAGCATTCTGTCCAACTGTCCCATTTCATAGACAAGGAAACTGAGACTCAGAGATGTGATGTGACCTGCTCCAAATCATAGAAAAGGTATGTGATACTCTTCTCTGGATGACCATCCTTGGCAGCCCCGCTGCCGCAGAAGCCCTAGCATGGTTGATTAATGCTCTGAGCTTGATCAAAGCCTATGACCTGGCTTGTTAAAGAGGAAGAAGGGGAACTAGTCCCCATCATCTGTACTGTGGTCTTAACCATACTTGGGGTTAAGGGGACCAGTGGACCAGGGAAATCTTGATAGAGTGCATGGGTGGGAGCTGTCAGGTAGTGGACCAGACGTCAGCTGTCTCCCTTGGTGAATGTGTCTAAGGCTGTATGTGTTTTTCTCTTCATGAGCAGTCCCTGCCCCATTTTGCTCTTTTCTGAAGTTAGGGAATCCATTTGTATTGCTGTGTACTTTGTTTAGTCACATGTGACAGAAACCCAACTTGAAAAAGTCCAAGAAAGAAAACGATCCCTAGAGCAGGGGTAGGAGTGAGGGGAGGAGCACTACTTGAGTCACGTGGCCTCAGAGTGGGGCAGAGGTGGTTCCTAAGGGAAAATGCAGGTGCTGTTATCAGAATGAGACTACTGGGCAGAGAAAATGAGGTGTCCATACAATTTGCCATGGGGCTGTCCCCAGTTCTCATAGACCTTCTCCCAGAACATACAACCAACACATTCGCCAAGGTAGACAGCTGACACCTGACCCACTTCCTGGCGGTTCCCGTCCATACACTCTGTCAGGATTTCCCTCGTCCACTGTCTCCCTTAAAGCCTAGTATGGTTAATACCATAGTATAGATGACAGGGACTAGTTCCCTCCTTCCCCTTTAACAACCCAGGTCCTAGGTTTTGGTTTGAGGGTCTCTAAACTTTGCTTCAGAGCCTCAATCCACCATGTTGGGGCTTCTGCGGTAGCAGGCCTGCCAAGGATGGCCATCCTGTTGCTGAGCTCAGTATGGCTGCAGCAGGTCTCCCTACTGTTTGCGTTCAGAACTAAGGGGATGGCTAATACCTGAAGCTAGATCCCAGCCTTTGATTTCCTTTGTGTGGAAACAGGCCTTGGTGCTCTGCCCACTCACCCAGGTTTCAGCCTAATGGCCTCCATGTTGGCCCTTGCTTTGGACAAATGCGAAGCAACTATCTGGGGTAGGAAGGCAGAGCTGTAACCCTCTGGCCCGGGTTAACCCATTGCTTTTGCTGTCAAATCAATTCTCACTCATGGACACCTTATAGGACAGAGTAGAACTGCCCCATAGGCTGTAAATCTTTAGGGAAGCAGTCTGCCACATCTTTCTCCCATGGAGCACCTGGTGGGTTCGAACTGCTGATCTTTCAGTTAGCAGCTGAGTGCTCAACTACTGCACCCTGCCCCAGGTTACCTTCTAGAGAATGACTCTTTACACAGAGCTAATTTTCACCTTCCTGAGGTCCTTTGGAAGGTTCCAGAGGACTAGCCTCAGCGTCCTTCTGAGGCTCCAGTTCCTCCAACTCTGCTTCCTTCCTGCCTGGCCCTAATTTCAGCTTGCAGCATTGAATCCATCTGTTCCAACCTTGCAAGAAAATGGATGACCTGACTCTTGGACATCTTAGATTCCTGTCTGGAGGCAGAAAGAAGCTCCCTTGGTGAGGGAGGCTGCTTACCTGCCCCACACCTCCCCCTTTTTAGCCGGGCTTGTCTTTTCTTGAAGGGATCATGGAACGCTCAAGCACTCTCCTCCAGCGTGTGTAGCATGAGCGAAGCGTCGTCAAAATTATAGGACAGCTTGATATTCAGAAATAGAACAAGAAATGTTGCTTTCATAATGCAAACGAAAGAAAGTGGAGCTGTACAAAACCTTCTGTCCTGGTGGGGGGCAGATTAAAAAAGCTTGCCAACACTGCGGGGCACGAGAACTTGTGGGGGGATACGAGGAATGTGTAAGACACAGCTCTCAGGATGGAGGAAATTTATGGTCTCACTGGGGAGACAGAAATCACACTCCAGGAACAATGAAGGAGGAACAAATGGGGGTTTGGGTCCCAGCAGTCGATCATGTGATAGATTGCCCTAGCCTTGTCTTTCTGGCATAATCCTCTGTCTTGAAGGCCCAGGTCAAATGTCACCTTCTCAGTAAAGTCTTCTCTGAACTCTCTTTTATGTGCCCAGAGAGCGGTGTCCATGGCCCTCGTGGCACTTTTAACACCACAGGGTAGAAAATATGCCACTCAGGCCTCTTGCAGCAGAAGCATTGCTGACCCTGGTCCCATCACCATGTTTGTGACAAGGCCATACTTCCCACAGGTTCCTCCCAGCTAGTGCCAGAGCTTGGCCATCCTGTGGGATGCAGACTGGGCTTGGAGGTCCAGCACTGGTCTGGCCTGAACTTTCTCAGAACTGTGCTGCAATCTGGGCTCATCTTGCCCTGTCCTTCCTTTTCTCCTTCTTTCACAGGTGTCAGACCTATACCATGATTTGAAGACACTCAAGCCTTTCCTGTTCCCTCCCCTTCAGCCTATGCAGGCATTTCTTCCCATCAGTATCTTTCATGTTGTTATGGATACAATTCTGTCCCTCCAAAATACGTGTTGGAATTCTAATCCCTACTCTGTGGATGCAATCCTGTTTGGAAATAGAGTTTTCTTTGTTAATGTGATTTAGATGATATCCTAGGAGGGTCTAAATGCAATCACTTTTGAGTTTTAAAAAGGGCAAAATAGACACAGAGGTGCACACACATGGGGGAAGATGGTACGAGGTGAACAAGCCAAGGAACGAGGAAATGCTTGGGCTACTGACAAGGTAGGAATGAACACAGTCAAGACCTGGTGTGGACTTTTCGCCTCCAGAACTGTGAGCAAATACATTTTTGTTCTATGAAGCCACCCACTTGTGTTATTTCTGCCACAGCAGCACTAGAGAACTCAGACAGATGTCTAATCCTGTTCTGGTGACAGGGTCCTGTGTGACTTGGATGGACACAAGTTAGCTGCTTACTTCTGCCTTTCCCACGAGACTGTGAGCTCCCCACGAGGGATGACTTTGTCTTGGGCATCACCCTCATGTGGAGCAAAGTCCCTCACCTACCTGAATGAATGTTGGTTGATTGAGCATTCAGAGAAGGAACGGAGAGGTGAGGTCAAAGGCCAGTGCAGGAAGTGAGCTGGAGGGCAGGCTGCCTGAGTGGAGGGAAGGTGCTTTGTTGGCGGTTCAGCATCTGCTGGGGACTGTGGAGGGCTGCAGTTGGACTCAGGAGAGAGCTGTAGGTAAATATCATAGGTCTCTCTGCCCCTGCCTAGGAGGGCTGCCCAGGTAGGTAGAGGGCGGGGGAGGGAGGCACAGAGCACTGATGAAAACCAGAAAGGGCCGTCTGGCCTGTCGCGGTTGCCCCAGCTCAAGACCCTGACACAGTGCAGGCTCCTGGTGCCGGGAAGCCCGGGGGGCCCCTGCGGATTCCTGCTAGATATCTTTGCGATGAGATCAGCGTCCTGAGCCGGAGCGAATTCCCCTCCGGTTTCTCCTCTTTGCTGTGCAGACCCGAAGGGGTCTGGGTCTGGTTCCCACCACCACACTTCCCGTGCCCATGAAATCTGGTTACAATTCCTGTCAAGGACAAGCCTGATCCCGGAGGAGACTAACAGCATAAACAACTGGCCGCGGGGGTGGAGGAAGACCAGGGGAAATGCTGGGGGCTCCCACGGCGACCAAGTGGGAGGGGGCTAGGAAGGCCTTTTCAGCAGCTTGGGTCCCAGAGCAGGCCCTGTGGTGTGGAGGCAGGAGCTGAATGGGGGTGGAGGACCGGAGCTCAGGGACACGGAGAAAGGAGTTGCGTCGCACGTGGTCTCAGCTGTGGCCCCAACTGGTCTGGTTGCTTCCAGCCCTGGCCCTTTGGTGCTGCCTGGTCAGCAAATAACACGGCGGGGCTGTGGGCGCCTGCCTGGGGCTGTGGTTTATAGTGTCGCAGCTGGGCAGCCTCAAGGCCCAGCTGCCCCCCAGGCCAGCTTATCTCACAGCTGTCCGGTTCCCTGCAGCGTTATCGGGGGGAATGAGGTGTCAGAGCTCAAACTTCTACTCCATGGGACAGGCCGCAGGTGTAAGGGACAAACAGTCCTTGGGCCCAGCCAGGTGACCTCAGCCCTAGAGGATTTAAACGGCCCCAGGACCTTCTCCCGGCCCCAGTCTGACCCTGGCCGGCGACAGCATGGGGGTGCTGCTGGTGCTGGGGGTGCTGCTGGCGGCAGCTTTTGCCAAAGAGAACTTTGTGGGGTAAGGGACCTGGAGAGGAGGGGATGCGTGGAGGGGAGATCAGAGGCCTCGGCCCACGGTCTGGGGGCAGACAGAGCGACAGACAGACAGCCACATGGGAAAGCAGCCAGGGAGGTGTGGACAAGCACTGCGCTTGGGAGGCTGACCAGGTCCCTCCAGGACAGTGTCCGGCATCGTGGGGAAGTCAGATGCTCTGCGGGGGAAATTTTAGGAGCGATGCAGGGAGGAGGCCGGGGTTAACTTTCGAGAGAGAAACAGAGTCTAGACTGGCATGGGGACGGCAGTGTCCTAGGGGTTCCACGGAAGGAGGAAGAAGGGGTGAGGGAACCCAGGTCCCCACTGTAAGGTCTCTGGGCTGCCCGCCTCCTTTCGCCTACTGGTGGAGGGTGTGGCTGGGCAGGGCTGCTGGCGCTCAGTCCTGCCCACCCTGCCCAGGCACCAGGTTCTCCGAATCCATGTGGTGGATGAAGCCCAGGTACAGGAGGTGAAGGAGCTGGAGGAACTGGACCACCTGCAGGTAGAGGACCAGAAGCCTTCAGGCCGGCTTCCTCCCAAGCCCCGCCTCTCCCTGTGCTGACCAGAACCTGGGCTCCATCTCCCCAGCCTCCCAGAAAGGACATGGGGGCTGATCCTTGCTAGGACAGGACTCAGGCCCCCAGGTCTAGAAGCTTGCTGCCCTGGGGCATTTTAGCAAAGTGCCAGACCCCTTCCTGCACCTCCCTCTCCCTGGCTGTCCCACAGGCCTCCACTCTGTTTCCTGGCCCTTTCCCGGACCACGCCAGACTCTGCCTCATTCCCAGGAGTCCCCTTCCCTCTCTGTCCCTGACACCTTCACCCTACCCCAGTTCCATGGGTCATTCTGGTGCCAGCCCCTCCTGGCTGGCCCTCTGTCCCCTGCTCCACTGTGGCATGCCCTCTCCTCGCAGCTGGACTTCTGGCGTGGCCCGACCCAGCCCGGCTCCCCCGTCGATGTCCGAGTGCCCTTCCCCAGCCTGCAGCCCGTCAAGGTCTTCCTGGAGTCCCGTGGGATTGAGCACTCGGCCATGATTGAGGACGTGCAGTCGCTGCTGGACGAGGAGCAGAACCAGATGTTCGCCTTCCAGACCCGGGCCCGCTCCACCGATTCCTTTAACTACGCCAGCTACCACACGCTGGAGGAGGTGAGGCCCGGCGGCGTTGCCCGGCACCACGCTCCTCCTCACAGCCGGCAGAGTAGGGCCAAGAGCAGGGCTGGTCTGGCTGGGTGTGGCCTGGGTGGTGGCACCCGCCTCACGGGCTCTGCAGCAGCCGGGCTAAGGGAGCTGCTAGTGGAGGTATCTTCGTGCGTGGAACCCACTAAGGCGTCTGCCCTCTCTTCTGTCTCAGATCTACGACTTCATGGACATGCTGGTAGTTGAAAACCCACAGCTCGTCAGCAAGATCCAGATCGGCCGCTCCTACGAAGGTCGCCCCATTTATGTGCTGAAGGTAACGCAGACACACATGGGACACAGGGACACCTGTGCACCCACAAAGGGGTGTGAGCTGCCGTGGGTAAGCCCAGGTGATGGGGGCACACTGCTGTGTGGACCCCGATGCAGACATCTGGGAAAGTCTGCAATTACTTGCTGTTCGAGGTGTGTTCACACCCACACCCACACACATACACTCTCTCACACAACACAAACTTGAAGGTGACCCAGTTGTTTCCCATCAAGTGTCACATCATAGACGGTGTTGTGGGGTCTGACAGCCAGATGAAACATTGTATTGGTGACTGTCTCCGTTCTCTAGCGCTGCTGTAACAGAAATACAAATGGGTGGCTTTAAGAAACAGAAATTTATTTTCTCACGGTTTAGGGCGCCAGGAGTCTGCATTCAGGCACCAGCTGTCGGGGAAGGCCTCTTTTGTCTCTCTGTTGGCTCTGAAGGAAGAAGGTCCTTCTTCCTTTTCAGCTTGTTTCTTGGTTCCTTGGAGATCGTAGTGGCCGCCACCTCTCTCCCCATCTCTGTTTGCTGGCTCTGTTTCTTGCCCAGTCATTTCTTCTCATACCTCAAAAGAGAAGGACTCAAGCCACACCCTACGCTAATACTCCCTCATTTGCATAATAAAGAAAGCCCGCTTCCAAATGGGAAGATAAACACCCAAAGCAACAGCTAACTCACTTCCATCCAGTTGGGTCCAACACACAGTGACCTAGGACAGAGCAGACCTGCCCCATAGGGTTTCCAAGGCTATAAATCTTTATGGAAGCAGACTGCTATATCTTTCTCCACTGGAGCACCTGGTGGGTTTGAATCGCCAGTCTTTTGGTGAGTAGACAAGTGCTTAACTAGTGTTCTACCAGGGCTCCTGTTATAAACACAAACAAACAAAAATCTATTGCTGAAAAGTCCATTCTGACTCATAGCGACCCTATAGGTCAGAGTAGAACTGCCCCACAGGTTTTCCAGGGAGCTCTGGTGGCGTAGTGCCTAAGGCATTTGACTGCTAACCAGAAGGCTGGTGGTTTAAACCCACCAGCCACTCCTCGGAAGGAGAATATAGGGCAAATTACTTCCATAGAGATACCGTCTTGGAAACCCAAGGAGGGGTCGCTATGAGTTGAAATTGACTCGATGCAGTGAGTTTGTTTTATTAATCTTTACTGAAACAGACTGCCACACTTCTTCTCACCGAGTGGCTGGTGGGTTTGAAAACCACCGCCTTTTGGTTTGCAGCCAAGTGCTTAACCACTGCACTACCAGGGCTCCTTAAAAACAGGTATGGGGTTAGGATTTACAACATATATTTTGGGGGGACGCAATTCATTCCATAACAGTGATCTTCCATGGAGAACTCTATGGGCAGCAAGGCAGGGCAGGGCCTGGAAGTCAGGTGGAGCCAAATTCACTCCAAGTTGTGCTGAGGGCAGGTGGCCACGTTCTGCAGCTCCCTGTCTAGCCTCACCCCCACTTCCCACCTGGTGGTGGCCCCACAAGCGCAGTCTCCACCTGAGATCCTCAGAGAGCAGGTGGCCCCTGCCTGGGCTCGGGTCCCCTTCGGGGAGGCGAGGTGAGGTCCAGGCTGTGCAGAAAATGACTCAGCCCCTCCAGGTTCAGAACGTTACTGCCTTTGGTTACCTTGCTGCCTTTGCGCTCGCTGACCACTGCCCTGCCTCTTCTCCAGTTCAGCACTGGGGGAAACAACCGTCCGGCTTTCTGGATCGACACAGGCATCCATTCCCGGGAGTGGGTTACGCAGGCGAGCGGGGTCTGGTTTGCGAAGAAGGTAAGCCTGTGGAGGAGAGGAGGATGCTGGCCTGGGTGGGTATTGGTGTCCAAGGCCCATAGAAACCCTGGCCTCACCTTTCCCACCCTGAAGCAGGGCCTGTAGCGGGGGCTGTGGGGAGGTGCCCATTGCCCTAACTTGGCAGATGCCTGCCCAGTCCACTCTGACCCTCTGTCCCTCTGACCCCACAAGATCGTACAGGACTATGGCACGGATGAACGTCTCACAAGCTTTCTTAACAACATGGATATCCTCCTGGAGATCGTCACCAACCCTGATGGTTTTGCCTTCACCCACACCAAGGTACAGTCCCTCTCCTGAAGCAGGGTGGGCCTCTGAGTCCCGCAAGTGCCCCACCCCCATTCCCAACTCTCAGAGGTCAAGGGAGGGGCAAATAGACCTGTCTCCTCCACCAGGGCTTCTCAACCTTGCACCATGGGCTTTGGGGCTGTCTAAGTCTTTGTCAAACCCACCAGCCACTCTTCGGAAGGAAGGTTGGGCAATCTACTTCCGTAGTGATACCGCCTTGGAAACCCAAGGAGAGGTCGCTATGAGTCAGGTCCGACTCCATGGCATATAACAACAACAAAAACAAGTTTTTGCCATGGGGACTATCCTCTGTGTTGTACAATGTTTAGCAGCACCCTGATCTCTATTCATTAGATGCCAGTAGCACTCCCCAGGTGACAACCAAAATGTCTTCAGACATTGGCAGACGTCCCCTGCGACAGAGGGAAATTGCCCCTGGTTGAGAACCACTGTCCTAGATCTTGTGTTCTTGGGCCTGCTTTTATTTTAACAGCAAATACCATCCTGCCACTCAGACCTGGTGGGGGGCACTCATGCCCTCTTCACTCTCCACCAGGTGGACCTCTGGCCTAGTGCCATCCCACCATCTTCTCCACTTTCCTAAGACCCAGCACCCTCTCTGCGAATCCTCCTCCCCCATCCGCCAGTTGAAAGTGGTTTCTGATCCCATGCTGTGAGCCCCAAGCTCCGCATCCGGGCACTTGGTGTTGACTGTGGCTTCCTGGCCTCTCTCCCACTGCGTTCTGCAGGCTTGAGCCCCAGGCCAGTGGTTCTGGACATGTGCCTGACACCATCTTTTTGTTTCTGCAGAATCGCTTGTGGCGCAAGACACGCTCCCTCACGCCTGGATCCTCCTGTGTGGGGGTGGACCCTAACAGGAACTGGGATGCTGGCTTTGGGCGTAAGGCCCCATGGATTTGGGGAGCAGATATGGGACAATGAAGAATGGTTTCTCACTCCTTTTTCTGTCTCCCCCAGCCTCTTTCTGGCCCAGCAGTGAGGGGATGGGAGAACAACATCAGATCTGCCTCTGAGGGCTCTTGGGGACAGAGGCTGACCTCCAGGAGGCAGTTGTTCCTTTCCTGAAAGCCCAGCTAGGGTTTTTCTAGTGTAACATCAGCTTCTTCCTCCTTGGCCACTTTGCTGCAAGAACTGCTCAGTGAAGGAGCTGACTTTCCTTCTTGTCATGGCCATCCACTCTGCCCAGGTCCTGTGGGGAGGGAAGCAGGCCTCTCAGATTAGAAGAGGCCTCTGGACTGCCTGCATCTAGACGGACAGCCCTTGGAGTCCCACCCCACCCCAACGCCATGCCAGGAAGTGGAAGTGTGGAAGCCATGTGGGATGTATGGTATGCTGATGGCCCCTCTTCCTCCCACAGTGGCCGGAGCCAGCAGTAACCCATGCTCAGAGACCTACCATGGCCAGTTTGCCAATTCCGAAGTGGAGGTCAAGTCCATTGTAGACTTCGTGAAGGCCCATGGGAACATCAAGGCCTTCATTTCCATCCACAGCTACTCCCAGCTCCTCCTCTATCCCTATGGCTACAAGACAGATCCAGTCCGTGACCAGAGTGAGCTGGTATGTGCCGCCCGCTGCTCCTCCATCATCCCACAACAGTGTTGGCCAGACTGGGTTTCACTCATGAGACCTGCTTCAAGCATAAGTGCCTACAGACTGCAGAGCACTCCCCCACTTCCCATGGACCCCTCAAGGGTTGAAACTGAGGCACAAAGTCTTGTGCCACTGTCATGTCACCACTGTCACGTCACAGGGCAAGGGTTGGGCTAGACTTGGAACTTGCAGTACTGCCCTTGGAGCTGCCAAGTGTGGCCAAGAGGCAGGGAAGTGCTGGCCAGGCACCGTGCAGGACCAGAAGGTGCTGGGGTTGCCAGGTGCCAGGGGCTGGCCCTGTAGGCCCTATGCTTCTGCTGGGTCTGCAGGATGCAGACTCTGGGTCACTCTGTACGTGACCAGCCCCTGGTGTCTCTGGTCTGACAAGGCCTTGCTTGGTGTTTTCTCCAGGATCAGCTAGCCAAGTCGGCAGTGACTGCCCTGGCTTCTCTATATGGGACCAAGTACAAGTATGGCAGCATCATCCACACAATTTGTAAGTGGTTGCGTGTTCTCTCCTGGTAGTCCTTAGAGGAAGCTTTACTGGCTTTTCTTGCCCAAGGGAGTGTCCTTCCCGGGAGGAAATAGCCACGGGTGTGTAGACCTGTGAGTGTGGTGAGGAGACCGGCTCCCTGGCAGTAGTGCAGCAGTTTGGAAGGATGGGCAGTGTCTCTTCCTGGCTCAGCCTCCTTGGTGCTTTCACTCAGACATGTATGAGTTCTCTGACTTCTCTCCTTTGTTCTGGGATGAAGTCCAGCTTCATGCAGGGATGGGGTGGATGGCTGTGCTGGGATCTGTGTATCACTAGGAAATTCCACTTTAAAAAGCCCCCCTCCTCCAAAGCCCTGCAGACAGAGAGGGCTGTGGTTAGTTGCCATCTTGTGGATCCTGACTTATGGCGATCCCATGTGTGTACAGTGGAACTGTGCTCTCTATGGGGCGTTCAAGGCTGTTATCTTTTGGAAGCAGGTCCCTTAGGCCTTCTGAGGCACCCTGGGTGGGTTGGAACCATCCATCTTCTGGCTAGTAGCCTGGTACTTCTTTGTGCCATCCAGCTGCCGTACTTAAAGAATAAACTAAAATAATAATAAAAACCAAACTCACTGCCATTGAGTTGATTCTGACTCATAGCGACTCCCATTGGGTTTCCAAGGCTGCAAATCTTTGCAGAAGCACACTGTCTTATCTGTCTTCTGCAGAGGAGGTGGTGGATTCGAAACGTTGACCTTCTGGTTAGCAGCCAAATGCCTTAACCACTACACCCCCAGAGCTCTTAACTAAAGAATACACCCTATCATTTCCCGGCTAATTTAGAAATGCAATGCCCTGGGAGAGGTACCATGTGAAAATGGAGTTAACATCTGTCATTTGAGTCCTGCCTCCACAGCACAGCTCTGGACATGGCTGTGCATGAAAGTAACAAAGATGATGACTCACGTTGTAGCCAGGGAGGCACATGGTAACCATAAGTAAAGGATGTGTTAGGTGCTAGGACAAAAGAACTAGTTCTGGGTAAGGGGTATTCCTGGGGTCAGGAATACAGGCGGGGCGGGCACTCTGCCGGGGATGCCTCACCGGGAGGTGGAGGGAATGAGGGCAGGAAGGGCTCCCCAGACAGAGCACCAACTAAGTGTGAGGCTGGTGTGCTGTGGAAACAGCAGGAGGCCCAGGTCAGCATTGTGGTAGGAGATAGAGGCTGGGGGCAGATCCTACAGGCCTGGAGGGATGGGAATGAGTATGTCAGCTGACAGGAGATGAGAGGACTAGAAGGTAAAAGTGGGGTTGCAGGGCAGAGGGGGGTAGTTGGCTGCATACATCTCTCCCATACCTCCCGACCCCAGTGCCCAAGTGCAGTGAGGATGGGGCACCATCTCACCTGAGGATGGCCTCGCTTGTGGGCCCCAGGTTTTCTTTGGAAATGGTGTTCCACACTGAAAGGTTTCACTTCATTCAATGTTTCAAATTAAACCCTGGCTCATGTCCTCCCTCCCTCTCCCCTGCCCAATTCAACTGCAAACCTCCTAAAGAAACAGAAGGGGCTTTAATTTAGTTTTTGAAAGCACCAACTCCCCATTCTTCCGCTGGCGCCTGGCAACCATTAATCTGCTTTGTGTCTCTGTGCATTTGCCTTTTCTCGATGTTTCAGGTAAGTGAGCTCATACAGTACCTGTCCTTTGTGACTGGCTTCTTTCACTCATGTAATGTTTTCAAGGTTCATCCGTGGTGTAGCGTTTGTTAGGACCTCATTTCCCTTGATGGCTAATATATATAGTCCATGGTATGGATAGACCACGTTTTGCACATCCATTCATCTGTTGATGGGCACTTGGGTTGCTCCCACCTTTTGACTATTTAAGGAGGTTTTGCTGTGACTCTGACCCCTTACACTTTCCCCTGATGACCCAAACCACAGAGGAACAAACTCTGGTTTGATTTCGAGGCTTAACTGATGTGGCTGTTGGATGGAGGCAGGAGCTTCTTGCATTCCAAATGAATAGGAGACCACTGTCTTTGGGCCTCTTGGGCTTAGACCCATTAGGAGGATTTTCTTGGAATGTCAACAGCAGACACATAGTGTTGTTGTTAGGTGCCACTGAGTTGGTTCTGACCCAGAGTGACCCCATGCGCAACAGAACAAAACACTGCCCAGTCCTGTGCCGTCCTCACAATCACTGCTAAGCTTGAGCTGATTGTTGCACTGTGTCAATCCATCTCATTGAGGTCTTCCTCTTTTCTTGCTCTCTCCTTTACCAAGCATGATATCCTTCTCCAGGGACTGGTCCCTCCTGACAAATGACCAAAGTACAAGAGGTGAAGTCTCACCATCTAGGAGCCCGTGTGAATGTTTCCCAAGTGGTTGACTCTTGTTCTTCCCTGCTCTTGTCCTTGCCCCAGACCAAGCCAGTGGAAGCACCATCGACTGGACTTACAACCAGGGCATCAAGTACTCCTTCACCTTTGAGCTCCGGGACACAGGGCGCTACGGCTTCCTGTTGCCAGCCTCACAGATTGTCCCCACTGCCTCTGAGACCTGGCTGGCACTTCAGGTCATCATGGATTATACCCAGAGCCACCCATACTGAACTGGCCCATCAGCACCCTCCTGTCTGGCCCCACCTAGGAAACCAAATAAAGTCTGAGTGTTCACGGAACAGCATCTCGGGTTTGCGTGGGGGACGCATGTGGTGTGTCTGCCCTTTCAAGCTAGGGCTGAAGTGATTGAGTTCTTGTAGTCTTGCTGGAAATATGTGGGTGGTTGGACGAGATGACCCCTAAATCCCCCTGCATTCCAAGGTCCTGCGAAGTTGTATCCAAGTGGGTCTGTTTTAATTAGACCACCCTGAGCACAGCTCCTCCGTGGGGCAATTTGTTCATACCTTAGTAGCAAGGAGCAGCCACAGCTGCTAACCAAATGGCAGGCACCCTGTGGTGGCAAGGAATTCAGCTCGCACAATAGTCTAGCTAGCTGCATTCATTCATCTATGGAAGCAATAACCTATAGTATGAAATATAATAAGCCTGGTAGTCACTACTGTCCAAAATAGATGTTTCAGCCAAGGAAAGCAAACTTCTATAAAACAAAATAGGGTCACTCACTCTGGGATGAAATCAGAAGTAAACAATTGGGTGTAATTAATTAATTTACTGAAGATCAAGAACAGATGCCAATCCTAGGACACTATTAATTGTAGTAGATCATGAAGACTCTGCCTTCATCCCTTGCATCTTCCGCACATTGTCTCTGTTGCCTCCCCCGTTTCCTCCCCCACTCCTTCCCACTCCCACAATTTCTCTGTGCGAGGCTCTCCTGTCACAACACCCTCCACAGCTCCTAAAACATAACCTCCTTCCTTTGGCTTGGTGACCCTGCATGTTGGTATGAAACACTTGATGGCCAGCGTGACAACTTTTTGCAAAGCAATATTCTACCTTTTGCTTCTTCCCAATCTCCTAAGATGTGACCATGGGGCTGAGTTATTCCAGAAGCAGCCACTGGGTAAGTGGGTGGGGTGGTAGCTGCCGAAACAGGGAGGCTAGGGATAAGAATGGCCACCACTCCCTGGACCAGCCAGACCAAATTTCACCATGCTTCCAGCTCCACTGACTGGTCTTTTCCACAGAAGGTATCAAGGTCAAAATGCTTTATTTTTTCAAGAGGCCTGGAGAATTTTCATCTTGGAGTTTTATTTCGATATTGTTTTTGCTACAAAACTAAGGAAAAGAATAAGGCTAACTAGACAAATAACTAGATATGAGAATTTATGAGATAAGGCAAAATGGTGCTTTAATCTCTAACTAGATCTTAGAAAGATGATCTAAAGATTTTAAAATATCCCCTTCAAGTTGTTTTTTGAAAACTGTGAAGCACACAATCTGTGTGACAAAGGATGACGATAAACCCAGTTTAACTACTCAATGGGGGCAAGTAGGGAACTGATCACCCAATCTTTTGTTCAAGATCAATGAGAGAAAAATACTAAGTCACTAAGGCAACATAGGGGGAGCTCTGGTGGTGTAGTGTCTAAGGCATTTGACTGCTAACCAGAAGGGTGATAGTTCAAACTCACCAGCGACTCTTCGGAAGGAAAGTTGAGCAATCTACTGCCCCAGTGATACCGCCTCGGAACCCCAAGGAAGGGTCGCTATGAGTTGGATCAGACTTGACGGCAGTGAGTTTGGTTATTTAGGGGAAGGCAACATAATCATTTTACAAAATCGGATTACCTACGCATAAAAACTAATCAAACCACACCCACGGCCAAATGAGTCCATTCCAACTCATAGTGACCCTTTCACCTGGTTTCCAAGGAAATAGATTGCCTCATCTTCCTCCCACAGAGCAGCTAGTGGGTTCAAACCACCCTCCTTTTGGTTAGCAGCCCAATGCCTTAACCACAGAGCCACCAGAGCTCCTTAGGCCTGGGCAGTAGACTTGCTTAATTGAGAATGAGCTGTGCATGCTGACAGCAGGGAGCACACTGGCGTTCAATCTGCCAACTGCACTTGACGCATGTTGTTGCTGCTGGTGCTGTTGACTGGACTCCGATCACGGCGCACCCACGTGACATGGGCAGAACTGCCTCCTTTGGTTTTCTTGTCTGCAATCTTCACAGGAGCAGACAGCAAGGCCTTTCCTTCTCCCATGGAGACACTGCGTCATTGAAATCACCAACCTCTTGGCTTAGCAACCAAGAGCTTAACCATTTGCGTCACCAGGGCTCCTTGACATATGAAACTCACTGCCGTTGAGTCGATTCCAACTCCTATCAACCCCCATAGGGTTTCCAAGGCTGTGAATCTTTACTGAAGCAGACTGCCTCATCTTTCTCCCACAGGGCGGCTGGTGGGTTTGAACCGCCCACCCTTTGGTTAGCAGCCTTAACCACAGTGCCAGAGCTCCTCCTTGACATACAGATGTCCAATAAATATTTGTTGAATGAATGCTACTTTTCCTAATGAGTTCATACATTTTATAATCTGTATATTGTAGGCTTGCTGGAAATACCCATACAAGTTTATTTCGAATCCCCAGAGATGAAGTTTAGAAAATCAGGCTCTGAGCAAGTAAGAGGAGTCCTGGTGGCACAGTGGTTATAGCATTCGGCTGCTAACCAAAAAGTTGGCGGTTTGAACCCACCAGCTGCTCCGTGGGGGACCGATGGGGCAGTCTACTGCCATAAAGATTCACAGCTTTGGAAACCCTATGGGGCAGTTCTACTCTGTCCTATGAGTTGGAATCAACTTGAGGGAGAAGGTTAGGTTTTTGGTTTTAAAGCAAGAGTCTTAAGAAAGCTGAAGACAAGGAAAGCAGCACGGGAATGTATGTTATATGGAGGTGGGGATTATGCTGGTTTGTTAGTCAATTAATGCCCACTTCTTGGCCAAGTGCTTGGCACACAGTCAGCATTTAATAAATGCTAGTTAAATGGACACATGGACATTGTTAATAATTTTATTGTTATTTTGATATTTTCAGGTGTGAAAAGGGCTTTACATATTTGCAGCTGTGTATTTTTACACAGTTACAGGAAAAAATGTCTAATTATATTAAAAAAATAAAGCTAAAAGACAATAATTTTGGACAATATTGAAGCATATGTAAAAGAATATTAATAACCTTGAGGGGAAAAGAGCGCTTATAAATAAAGGGGCTTTTAAAGGACTAATATTTTAAGAGAAAAATAAGCAATTTCCAAAAGAAGAAACAAAAATCCAACAAACATATGAAAAGATACCGATCCACTGAATGATTTCTTGTACATTAAAGAAAAACAAATATGTAATTTTTCTCCCATCCGATTGGCAAAGACGACTGGTGAGTCAGTGTTACTGAAGGCGTGAAGAAGTAAGCACTGCCATAAACTGCTTGCTGGCAAGAACAGAAATTTGCATCACCTTTCCAGAAGGCATTTGGCAATATAAATCAACATTTTAAATGTATGGCTTCTTTGATCCAGAAAATCCACTAGCAAGAATTTATTTTATGGAAATATTCGGACAAGTTCAAAAAAAGAGGAAGATAACTGAAATAATTATCAGTATAAACCAAAAAGACCAAACCCACTGCCATTGAGTCTATTCCAACTCATAGCAACCCTATAGGACAGAGTAGAACTGCCCCATAGGGTTTCCAAGGTTGTAAACTGTTATGGAAGCAGAATGCCTTAATCTTTCTCCCGTGGAGGGTTGGTGGGTTCGAACTTCTGACCTTTTGGTTGCTGTTGTGTTGTTCTTATGTGCCATCGAGTCGGACCCGACTCATAGTGACCCCTCCTTGGGTTTCCGAGGCAGTATCACTACGGAAGTAGATTGCCCCATCTTCCTTCTGAGGAGTGGCTGGTGGGTTTGAACCGCCAGCCTTCTGGTTAGCAGCCAAGTGCCTTAGCCACTATGCTACCAGAGCTCCTGACCTTTTGGTTGTTGTTGTTATGTGCCGTCGAGTCAGACCTGACTCATAGCGACCCCTCCTTGGGTTTCCGAGGCAGTATCACTACGGAAGTAGGATTGCCCAACCTTCCTTCCGAGGAGTGGCTGATGGGTTTGAACCGCCAGCCTTCTGGTTAGCAGTCAAGTGCCTTAGGCACTATGCTACCAGAGCAGCAGCTAAATGTTTCAATCATTCAGCCACCAGAGCTCCTTAAAATATTAGTACGAAGTGGTTATATGGCATATTCACACAGTAGAATACCATGAAGCTATTAAGGTCTGTGTTGATGTGGAGAAATGTTCACAATATACTGAGAGAAGCTGGCTGCATGATGGAAGTGTTCTAAAATTGGTGGTGATGGCTGCATAACTCTGTAAATTTACTAAAAGTCACTGAATTGTGCACTTACGATGGCTGAATTTCATGATATGTGACTTATACCTCAATACAGGTTATTTTTATTTATTGTTTGTTTGTTTCTAAAAGCTGGCTACAAAATACTGAGTATGAATTTTGTCTTTCTTTAAAACACACACACATACACAATTGCCTGGAAAGATATACCCCAGTAAGAAATGCAGTTATCTTGGCTAGTGGTGGTTTTCCTCTTTATACTTTCTGGGTTTTTTTTTTTTTTACAATAAGCCTAGATTATTTTTATAAACAGGGGAAAAAAAAAAAAACAAACCACCCAACAATAAACCTATTTCAAACACAGCCAATAACCTAGGTGTAAAGTTACCTAATGTCAACTTACTATCAGCATCAGACATCTAAATGACCTCTTCCTTTGGCCCAGATTCTTGTTTATAACGTGTCTAAACTCATGTCTTCTATCCTGGTGTCAAATTTCACTGGCCCCTCCAGAAGAATGCAGTTTATCTTCAGAAGAACCAACACCCCAGAGAGAGCTGGAAGCAGGGGTGTTTCTACCGAGGTTGGGGGTTACTCGCCTCCCCGTTTGGGGGCCACTTTTTGAGCACTTTACCATAGTTCAGATGAAAAGTCCACAGGCCCCTTCTGCTTCCATTCAGGTCAAGGCCATCTTGGGAGCTGATGGTGCTAAGGCCTATTTTCCAAAGCCTTTAGAAAACTCCTTATTTTAAAATGAACTCATTTCAGTTTTTCTTAGGCCATTCTATACGGTTCTCATGG